GCTCAGCGGGCCACGGTAAAATTATCAAAGGCTGACTGGTCCGCGGCGATAAAAAGGTTGGGGACCACTGTTTTAGAAAACAAGTTTACATCATATTCTTATGCATCCCAGTGCTGTGTGTGAGGTAATTTAAGGTGGTTTTGACAAGTGTTGTCGGCATCTTCATATCCGGTCACATGGGCGGCAAGCTACTCCCATCCGGTCACATGGGTGGCAAGCCACTCCCATCCGGTCACATGGGTGGAAAGCCACTCCCACAGAGTAGGTTCAAACAATTTTTGAAACCCACCACTGGTTCCATAGCTTTTGTCATATTGGCCAATAAACTAACTTTCCAGGAGTGTATTTATAGTGTTGACAGCTGAGGTCAGCAGGTGCTCATTAGCACTCTAGTTAGCAGCAACAAGTCTCCATTACTAAAACCAGGTTTATTATCTTTGCATGAGAAATGATGCAAATAGGTGTACAATCCTTTAGTCAATTTTATTTACAAAGGAACACAACCTTTCTGGGAGGCTAGGACATTCCACAAGATTGGAGAGCATATGGGCAATTGGAAGGGAAATAGGTCTTAATTTCCACCCTCCCTTCTTTTGTTATGGACTGCTGTGATATCCAGCTTAGATTCACAGGAAGAAAAGAATGTCTAGCACAGACAGAAAATCCCTCTTGAAGCAAAGTTCCTCAGGCTGTCTCCGAAGAGCAGACTCAAGGGAAGCAGATGGTTCTGGCAACCAGCCTTGGTGGCCACCTGTAATAAATCTGCTACCAGCAGCTGTGCTGGCAGACACATAGTTCCCTCATGGGCCACAAGTCTATTTCAGACAAGGCAGAGTCTTATTAATAGAGGCACTGACATGATTCAAGTTATACTGGATCTTTTTCTCTAGATATTGGCCATCTTTAAAACTCAATATATATTTAATTGAACAGGACTTTCTCAGTTGTATTAAATCTAATAAAAGAATGCTGTATTGCTGAAACAGAAGAGAAAATACTGTATGCATCCAGTATACTCTGCCATGAGTTGTTTTGATACAAGATGAGAGGCAAATATAATTAATAAACAAACAAACAAACAAACTCCAAGATAATTCTATCAGTAATTCTTAAAACTTCACCTCCAAGCACAATTCAAAATGACAGATCTATACTTTGCAAACAGACACACACAAAGTGCAATTCCTTGGCAATCCACTTTCTACTTTTGTAACCTTTAAAACCTAAACATTTAGCTGATATAATAGCTTTGGGGTAGATAATCCCACCTATTCATGCAGATTGATATCTCCAAATCCGTTTTCTAATTTTGCCACCTTTAAGAAGTAAGGAGGACAAGTCCCCAAGTCATCATTTTCAATGACTTCACAATGATATCCATCTGAAAAATATTCCCCTGGCTCAACCTGATCATTTGTTGGTGGAACAAATTAGTGTTTACTGATAAAAAGATTTCATTGTTATTCTACTGAATAACATTTTCATTCTTTATGATCTATTTGTGAATTGTTATACCGGTTGTTTTGGGACTGTCATAAAATAAATGAAATGTTGGCTGTTGTGGCCCAGCAGGAGCCGTTGGAGCTGCCACCAGACTCCAACAGCGAGGGGCCCTATGAGTCGGCCCTGGGGGATGTGGAGGACCCTGGACAGGGTTCCGACTCCGAGCAGGGTGCAAAGAGACTGGTTGGCCACCAGGTGGCATCTGAGCCTTGGATCAATGGGGAGGAGACAAGGGAGAGTGGTCCAGAAACCAGCAGTGAGTTGTTCCTGGATGCACGCCATCACAGAGCTACTCAGCGTCAGGAACAATTACGCATTACAGGAGGTAATTGCACTCAGCTGATGGTCATTAGGCTCCTCTCCAGACTATAAAAAAGACTGCTTGTGACACGCCCTTCTTGCAGAAGTCAACGCTTTGACTAAAGAGAACATAAGTACCTTGGCAGGCTGGATTGCTGGCAAGGTTTGTCTGAATTGCTGCCAAGGTTTGTCGGACTTGCTGCCAAGGTCCTTCTCTGTTTGTTTTGCTTGGCTTTCAGCCACCGAGATTCTGGTCTTGCTAATTAAAGTACATTCTAGTAAAGCTTGTCTCGGCTTTCGTTACTGGGCGGAGGAGGGAGTCAGAACAGTTGGCTATATTGTTCCTTTCTTTTTTTGTGAAGATAACTGTTCTCTTCCAAACAAAAACCATAATTTCTGTTTAAAAAACATAATAAACTACCTTTAATTAGCAACCATTTGAAGTTGCAATAGACCCCTCCCCCCAAAAAAGGAGATAGGCGACCCAGATTTGAAGTTCTGATGTCAACTCTCCCTGCAGTCATGTGGCTACATTCTGGGCATTCAGCTTACATTTACAGCTGTTTCTCGCACCCAGGGGTCATGCTATACAATACTTTTGGCAGAAACTGGCATCTCCTTCTGGTTTCTAGCAAAACCATGCCTATACTGAACGAGGAATTTGTTAATGATTGCCACAATAAAGGTAATAAAAATGGTAAAATTGTTTGTGACCCAATTTACGGCCATCATGGTTTATGACTATAATTGTCAGGCTCAATTATAAATCAAGGACTATCTGTATGGATTTTTCAGTATGTCTATACATAACATTAACAACACGGCCTCTTCAGGAGACAGGAAGAGAAAACTTACCATAAGAAATCAGAAGAACTACATTCACAAACTTTGGAAGAAAGTGCTGACATAAAGTTTTTTCCTTTAATACACCATGATGAATTCTTCCTCCTTCGAAAGGTTCTCTGCTGGCCCATTATGCAACGGTCACCCTGAATATTAAAGGTTAATTCTCATAGCTGTTAGATAAAGTTATTTATTTATTTGTAACCCAATTCTTGGACTAATTTTCAGTATCCAGTAAGAATTGTCAACTGAATTTTAGGTATAAGAATAAGATCTAACAAGTGTTTCACATGCAGATTGCATGAACTGATCTTTCTCAATACAATTTAACTTCTTCCCTTTTCCCATTTCTTGTATTGGTTATAACCACACAATGTCTATTGTGAGCAAGTTTAATAACACATCTTAATATTTAGTATAGAAAATATAGCAATGTTTATAGGCACATGTGTGTAAAGGAAAGAAGAAACAAATTAAATGCTAAAACAAAATGGCTGATCTCATGCAACTCAATCTTGGGTTGTTCAACTTCCACTGAGAAACATTCTTATCTAAATCTACACAGAGCTATTTCCAGTGTAGCAATACTGATGGAGACTTCATACATAGCATCTTTCCTTAACTTTCAATTAATTTGATTGTATTAAGCAAATTGAAATATAAGTATGTCTTTGGCTCAAATCATACCTCTATTTCTTTGCCTGCTATATCAAAAAGAAATTCTCTCTAAATGTTGTATTTTAAAAATATATTGATTCATTTAATTGGTCTGACATCAATTACAGGCAATTAAGAGATTGATTGTTGAAACCTATTCATACTCTGTCCATAATAAATACTTTATCTCCAGATCACTAAATCTTAGCCAGTGCCGTCTACAACGTGTTTAATGTGTATCATATTTATTGCATTTAATAAAGTACCAATTTATACCTCCCCAGCTAAACGTTGAATCAAGGAGTATACACTGCTGTATTTGTAAATATTTGAGCTAGAAGACAGCCTTTGTTGTAGAATTTAAGGAGCAATATACTAGTCTGAAATTGTTCTTGTCATAGTTTTCACACTATTCTTTTTGCAGTTGAGCAAATCATACCTCTAAAGTTTTGGTTTTATGTTCATTTAACTGGAAACCCTGTGCTCTATATTGTATTGTGAAACATCTCCCCCCCCCCCTGGCTTTTTTACTTTGCATCAAAATGCTATCTGATAGCTCATGCCATATTACCTTTCTGAAATAAATCTGAGCTACAAATTCAAATTTGAAGTTATGTCTTTAATATATATAACATTTGATTCTAATTAATCAAGAATGATTATTTTTGATGACTTCTATTGATATGAATATCCTGGAATAATCAGAACATAGTCCTAGAAATCAAGCTATTCTCTCACAGCAGTCTATTTCATCTGTAATTGGTAAGCCATGGGTTTAGTGTAATCCTATGCCTGGCTATTTAGGAATCAAGCCACGTTCAGTAGAACAAAAGTTGTGATTGTATTACATACATAAGCTGTGTGACCTGCATACTCTCCCTTCTCTCTATCTCTTGTTTATGATGGAATGAAACCATGCTACAAATTTCCAGATTATTCAAATAAGGAAAACTGAGGTCTTTACTAATCATATTTCATTTAGAATTTAGATATTAACTCAAAATTAAGTTTTAGTTTTATGTTCTGGTTTGTTAACCAGTTCAATTAGACCAATTATACTTCTCTTTAACTGAACCACAGCCTTAGTGTAGTTAGCACAGATAATACTAAACATGTTTTAGTATTACACAAACAAATGTCACTAAATGTGATAGTTATTTCTTTATAAGTAGTTGCACCTGCAGATTTGTCAGGTCCCATGATTCATAGTCTTCATCAGTGCATTCACGGGAAAAAGATGGACGGAAATCTACCTTGACTAGTTCCCAGTCTGACTGATAGCTGATGTGTCCAAACACCCTAAAGAGAAAAAAATCTGAATGAGTTCCCAAGTAAAAGACTGGGAGTGAACACAAAATATAATAAGGAATATCATATTTTTCAGAGTATAAGACGGACCTTTTTCCTCAAAAAAGAGGCTGAAAATCCGGGTGCATCTTATACATCGAGTACAGCATTTTTTGCCTCCTGAAGCCTCGCCCCCTTCACCAAAATGGCCGTGCATAGCCTTATGGAGGCTTTCAGAGAGCTCCTGGGGGCTGAGGAGGGCAGAAATGAGCAAAAAATGGGCCATTTTTGCCCCCCAGCTCCCAGCAGCACTCTATAAGCCTCCATAAGCCTATGCATACATTTTGTTTGACAAGAAACGGGCTCATTTTCATGAAAAATGGGCCATGTTTTGCTCATTTTTGCCCCCCACCTCCCAGACCCCCCCACTTTGCAATCCCCCCCAAGGCTATTCATGCCCCCCTTTTTTTGGGAAAAAAAACAGGCTCGTTTTTGCAAAAAACAGGCCGTTTTTGAGAGGTTTGTAGAGTGCAAAAACTTTTTTTCCCTTTGGGAATGCTCTTTAACTGATTGATGAGAATTACATTGATCAACTGCTGTGCCAGCAGAAACAAAGTCTTAGGTGCTGCAGATTGTCAGTGATTTCCTTCTCTAGCACATGGATAAATACACCTGGAAACATCTACCTACCTACCTACCTACTCTCTCTCTCTCCCTACCTACCTACTGTATTTCTCTCTCTTTTTCTTTTCCTCTCTTTTTGTGGGGGAAAAGGTGCATCTTATACTCCAAAAATAAGTAGATGTATATACCACTTTACAGCCCTCTTTAAATGGTTTACATAGTGTCCCCAATAATCTGGGTCCTCATTTTATCAACCTTGGAAGGATGGAAGATTGAGCAGGTGAGACTCAAACTGCTGAAATGCTGACTGGCAGTCAGCAGAATTAGTCTGCAATACTACAATCTAACCACTCTGCCACCACAGCTCTTCAGTACATGAAAATGTTATATTTTCAAATTATTTTCATAATCGGGCTGTTCTGTACCATACTTTAAATATTAGCAATTAACTGACCCTGGACATCTATATCTTGGTATAACAGAACTAAAGAAGATGTAGTAATCAACAATGGAGACGATATGGTAGCCAAGGATTTTGTCTTCTTGAACATTTTTAATCACTTGACTCCACAACAGAAAGTTTGGCTTATCTGTGTTTAGCTCTGAAGTAATGTATGTTTAGTCAGATATCTATTTATCTATTATCTCTACATCTAAGGCATTCCTTTTACTCTTCTTCTGAATCCTGAAGCCTCCACATTATCACAAAACTATTTCCCATATGTACTCTCCCAATTAATTATCATCCATTAAATTGCTTTCATTTCATTTAAAGATGTCCAGCCAAAAATGAAGACCTTGGATGTGTTCCTAAATTAATTACTTAGGTAATTGTTTCATTACGTTAAGTTAAACACTTTTAATCAACTTTTTTTCATGTAGTTGGTGGGCTGATACAATTAAAGGTACTTACGTCATGACTAAAGTCTCATCCCCAGGTTCGCTAAGTAGGCCATCCACATACACAGAAATACTTGTGAAATTATGGGTGCTCCAAGTTTGACCTTCATCTACACTGAATCTGTAATGGAAATAGTAAAATAATCAATACCATTTCTTTAAACAATTTAATAGGATTCACCAAGTCCAAAGTAGTTAAACAGTAGATATTCTAAAGCTAACCATTATAGGTAGTTTTCGACTTATGACCATTTGTACAGTGACCCTTCAAAGTTCTGCGGATGCTGAATGAATGGTGGTTAGGACCAGTCCTTGAAGGTCTGGTTGTTCCAGCAATTCTGCAATTGTGTGATTGCAATCTAGGAGTTTGACAACCTGTTCACATTTACAACCAGTTGCCAAGCACCGTGCAATCACATGAATACTATTTGTAACCTTCACTGTTGCTGGGGTATCTCTCCCACACTTGCACCCTCCCCCAGACAATCTGTACTTCTGCCCCACTGGCCACTTGTGCATTCTAGTATACTCTCTCCAACCTTCTCTGTGCCTCCCTTGTAACTCCTGACCTACATGCACTCCAGTGGTGGGTTTCAAAATTTTTTAGAACCTCTTCTGTAGGTGTGACCTGCTTTGTGGGAGTGGCTTGCCAGCCATGTGACCAGGTGAGAGTGGCTTGCCGGCCATGTGACCAGGTGGGAGTGGCTTGCCAGCCATATGATTGGGTGGGCATGGCCAACTTGTAAAATGTGGTGAAACTCACTTAACAATGTTCTTGCTTAGAACCAAAATATTGGCTCAGAAACTCTGGTATTTGAAGCATGCAAGTCTTAAAGCTGTCAAGTTACAAGACCCTTGCACCCCTAACCCTTTAGAAAAAAAACCCCAGGGGTGTCCAAACTTGACAGCTTTAAGACTTGTGGACTTCAACTCCCAGAATTCCTCCTCTCACTCTTCATCTTGATGAAGTGCGGATGGGTGGGGGGAGGGAGCTGAACCAGTTCTAAACGGCACTGTAGATTTGTGGAACCTGTTCTATAGAAGAGGTTAGAACTGGCAGGAACCCACCCCTGATGCACTCTCTCCAACCCACATAGTGCCTCTTGTATATCTCCCCCCAAATTATCACCCTTGCGCACCCTCCCTGACCCTGGTAGCCCCTCTCTTGCACCCTCCCAGATCCTCTCTCCCATCCTTGAGCATTTCCTCACAGACTATGCCTCTCACACACCCTCTTCAACCCTCATATTCCAAACTCCCCTTCATTCTCTCCTTCACCCAGCAGCCATTTACCTGTCTGCAGGTGTGGAACTTTCGACTTCCTGACAGCTTCTCCAAATACGTGGTGATGAGAAGCTGAGAAGTTGACTTACCTAACAATGGTGAGTTTGAGTTAATGATGGCAACCAGGATTACAGGGATTGCGATCACTAAGCATTGCACTCACACTTTATGACCACATTGTTTACCAATTGAAATTCTAATCCCAGTTGTCAGTAAAGAGTACATGTTTGAGTTCTTTCCTTTGTAAAAAAAAATTCTGCTACTAAAGTTATCTCAAAAGACATTATCTCAAAATCTGAAACAGATACAGGTAGTCCTCAACTTATACTATTCATTTAGTGACCGTTCAGATTTATGACCATTTTTCACACTTATGACCTGCAGAATCCCCATGCTCAAAATTCAGGTACTTGGCAACTGGCATATATTTATGACACTTGCACCATCTCAGGATCATATGATCATCCTTTGCAAGCTTCCCAGCCAGCCTCCAACAAGCAAAGTCAATGAAGGAAGCTGAATTCACTTAACAACATGATTCACTTTACAACTGCAGTTATTTATTTAAGAACAGTGATAAAATATTGTAAAATGGGTCAAAATTCACTTTATAACTGTCTTGCTTACTAGAATAAATTTTGGGCTCATTTATGGTTGTAAATTTGTAAAATGGGTCAAAATTCACTTTATAATTGTCTTGCTTACTAGAATAAATTTTGGGCTCATTTATGGTTGTAAATTGAGAACTACCTGTATTTCAAACACTTAGTAGTTTAACCAGAACAGTGCACCCAAAAAAAAATCAGTGTAAGTTAATCATAAAAAAGAAAACACACAGAGGAAAATTGTAAGATTTGTTTGATGGGGCCCCCTGGCATCACGTTTCTGATACAAACAAGTCCCTTATGTTACATAAAATTTGATCACGACATCACTATACTGGTCTGAAAGTCAATATGATAGCTCACAATGTAAGTAATATTTGAAAGTCAGAATCAGAATAATTATCAAATCTACCAAAACCTCAGAATAGTTGCCCTAGATAAGATCAAATTATTATCTTGTGCTACATGCAGTTTGCATAGTAGCCAATTAAATGTCAATACTAATAGGAAATTCTCTTCTAGGTATTTTAGAACATATATATATACTTAATATTTCCAAAGGGTTTAGTATAGTAACACCAACAGCAGCTATTCTATTCTTTTTTGCTCAGCGAACCTCATATAAAAGACCAAAATAGTGAAAGATCCAAATTATTATATATGGAAACATCATTGTCAGGAGCACTAAGAAGATTCAGTGAACAGGCCAGAGTTGCCAGAAAATAATAATTTCAGCTAACAGCATCCTACCTTTTTAAGGAGTTAACTTGTTTATGATTAGCAACTACAGAAAGCTTTGCACACCCCTAATTAATTCACTTTTAAAGATATCCAAGTAGATAGGGGATAGAAGGGGAATTTGCAGATGACATCAAGCTGGGAGGAATAGCCAAGAACCCAGAAGATAGGCTCAAGATTCAGAAGGACTTTGACAGGCTTGAAAACTGGGCTTTATCTAACAAAAGGAAATTTAGTGGTGGGAAAAGTAAGGTTTTACTTACTTAAAGAAAAACCAAATGCACAGATACAGAATAGGTGAAATCTAACAGTAACTACGAGAGGGATCTAGGGAATCCCAGTGGACAATTGCTTAAATATGAGCCAGCAGTGTGCTGCAGCTGCCAAAAAAGTCAACATAGTTCTAGGCTGCATTAAGAGGAAGATAAAATCAAGATCATGTGAAGTGGTAGTACCACTTTATAATGCTTTGGAATACTGTATCCAGTTTTGGTTACCACAATATAAAAAAAAGATGTTGAGATTCTAGAAAAAAATGCAGAGAAGAGCAACAAACACGGTTAAGGGTCTGGAGGCTAAAACATATGAAGAATAGTTGCAGAAATTGGGTATGTTTAGTCTAATGAAAAGAAGGATTAGGGGTGACATGTTAGCAGTGTTCCAACATTTAAGGGGCTGCCTTCAAAGAACCTGAAGATAGGATAAGACACAATGGATGGAAACTAATCAAGGAAAGAAGGAATCTAGAACTAACGAGAAACTTCCTGACAGTGAAAACAATCACTGCACTGGAACAGCTTGCCTCAACAAATTGTGGGTGCTGCATCAACTGAGATATTTAAAAAGAGATTGGACAGCAATTTGTCTGGAAGGGTATAGGGTCTCCTGCTTGGGTTGGGGGGGGGCTGGACTGGAGGACCTTCAGCATCCCTTCCAACTCTTCTATTCTGTTCTGTTTTTGTTATTCTTTCTATGATCAAGTGTATCCATTGCATCAAGCCCAATGAAAGTCTGGAATGGTATAGGATCTCCTGACATGGGCAGGGGTTGAACTAAAAGACTTCCAAGCTCCCTTCTAACCTTATTGTTCTATTTTTTATGTTCTAGATGGCTGAGGGAGGTTGGGGGAGAATGACCTCCTTACCTATGTTTTCTTTTCTGATTTCCATGGATAAGTTCCATGGATGTCCCAAAGATGTTTTTTTACGAAGCAAATTGACTTTCTGGTTTTCCTTTGAAGATGTTTCATTTCTCATTCAATAAGCTTCTTCAGCTCTTGCTTCTTGAAAAAGCATCTTTGGGACAACCATGACCTGGATGACTGAGAATCTTCATAGACATTTAGAAAACATGGAGCAAATATTAAATTAGTAAATAACTCTCTTAGAGAAAAAAAAAACATTTCAGTTGGAATATTTTTAGTACTGAAAATACAGTAGAGTAATGAAAGTTTGCTGTAGAATTACTTGAGTATTTTCAGAGGAATAGATGTATCTTTGATGGCCACAATCACACCACCATGATCCAAATATAAGATATGATGCTCCTCTTCAAAAACCTAATGGCCAGGAAAAGAAAAATAACAAAGTAATTAGGTTTTTCAGGAAAACCATATTAGCATATTGGATCAAAAATAGAGTAATATTGGAAGAGGGGATTCTTTGGACTGAGGGAGACACGCACTGAAACCTGGGAAAGACTGGAGTGACAACAGAATGAGGGAAATGGGGCGGAAATAACAAAGGAGATTAGGAAACAATTAAAAATTCATGAAAATTATAACATCAAATACAGGTAGTCCTCAATTTACAACAGTTCACTTAGTGACCATTTGAACTTATGAGAGTCTTGGTGGCACAGTGGTTAGAGTGCAGTATTGCAGTCTACTTCTGCTGACTGCCAGCTGACTGCAATTTGGCAGTTCAAATCCCACCAGGCTCAAGGTTAACGCAGCCTTCCATACTTCCGAGGTAGGTAAAATGAAGACCCAGATTGTTGGGGACAATACGCTGACTCTGTAAACTGCTTAGAGAGGGTTGTAAAGCACTGTAAAGTGGTATATAAGTCTAAATGTTATTGTTATTGCTACAACGGCATTAGAGGTGGGTTCCTTCCAGTTCGCACCTATTCGGTAGAACCGGTTCGTCAAATCTACCAAACCGGTTAGAAGAGGTTCCACCAGTGGATCCGGAAAACAGGCCACACCTACAGAAGAGGTTCCAAAAATTTTTGAAACCCACCACTGGTCATTGGATATGATTATTCTACACTATCATGCTCATATTTATAAAACTCAGTGCCTCTGTGAAAGGTAAGGATGACTACTGTGTTTGTGGTGCAATCAGAACATTGCGTGTGTTGAAGTTGTTTTAACGCAAACCAAAGATGCCTTTTAAAAAACACAGTGCTGTGTGTGAGGTGATTTAAGGTGGTTCTGACAAGTGTCGTCGGCATCTTCATATCCAGTCACATGGGCAGCAAGCCACTCCCATCCGGTCACATGGGTGGCAAGCCATTCCCACAAAGGAGGCCACACCCACAGAGTAGGTTCGAACAATTTTTGAAACCCACCACTGAACGGCATGGAAAAAAGTGACTTATGACCATTTTTAACACTTATGACCACTGCAACATCCCCATGGTCATGTGATTTATATTCTGATGTTTGACAACTGACAACATTTATGACGGTTGCAGTGTCATGGGTCATGTGATCTCTTTTTGTGACCTTCTGACAAGCAAAGTCAATTGGGAAGCAAGATTCACTTAACAATGATATTACTAATTTAACAACTGCAGTAATTCAGTTAATAAATGTGACAAGAAAAGTCGTAAATAGGGCAAAGCTCACTGAACAAATTTCTTGCTTAGTAACATAAATTTTGGGTCAATTGTGATCGTAAGTCGAGGACTACCTGTATTTTGGGTCATCAAAATAGTAAAAGACAAAGCACAGATGATAGGAAAGTATGTAAAGGTGAAAGGTAATATGACATAAGTATCCCAAGTGAGAATAATAAAATGAAAATACATTCATTTAAAATATCATTCAAGAAATAAATGTTATACCATAATTAAAAAATAATGGCTCACTATGTTTTCCCAAGGTTATAGTCCTACGCATATTTATTAAATGCAAAAGGAATTAATTTTGTGTAAATATGCTTAGACCCAGACTGCAATTAACTAAATGTTTAAAAGTGATTATGTCATCAAGCCTTCAAGAAAAAATCCCAGGAGTAATAAAATATATATGATAAAAATATCATATCTTTAATCTAGTTGTTGATGTATACTACATATTCTACTGGGCACAGCATTGTGACAAGATGATTGCTAATAAACAATAATTCACACATTCTTCCTCTCTTTAGGGTTGATTTGGACTATCATTAAAGCCCCATCTATTGATAATGAATAGCTTGGTCATATTAGGAGTCACACAGCTTGAATGATTCATTAAAAAGCTTATTTTCTATATATGTTCTTTTCACTGAATCAGAACATATTTATGGGTTGTGAGTGTGTGTAATTTTTTATTTATTCTTACCTTTATTAATAAACAAAAATAAATAAATAAATAAAATATAAAATTAACAAACCCATCACAACATTTTAATACCTGTCTCCATGTTTTGCCACAGTCAGATGTTATATACATTTCTTCCTTGTATTCCACAAGCTGGGCACCCAGATTTCCTGAGAATAAAAGTATAATAATAGTAAAATTACTATTTTACATTGCAAATGCTTACTGCAGTTACTTCTACAAAGGCTCCTAGTCTCCACCCACCCTTGTTGCTGAAAAAACCCTTCTACATTCTGGGAAAAAGAGAATCCCAAAGGCAGCTTCTATTTTAGACCTGCCATGCAGCTACTTCCAGAATTAAGGAATTGATTTGAAGCCTTCTGCCCCATGTAAAAAAGAGCAGCTCCACTCTCATGCTCTTCCTGTTAATGCTGCTCGGCCTGAAACATGAGGATCGTGGAGGAAAGCGTTTTCAGGCCGAGCAGCAGCAGTGAGGAGTGTGCATTCCTCCTGAGCTGTGGGAAGCGGCTGCCAGCAATGCCCTCAGGGTGAAGACGTTGCGAGCGGAGAAGGCTTAACCCCCTCAGAAGGCGCCAAGCCCTTGACACCTGTGAGGATCGTGGAGGAAAGCATTTTCAGGTGGCGGATCCTCTTCCCGATTCCAAAAACGGTGTGTGCGGAAGGCGCTGCCACCTGAAAGCTCTTTCCTCCACAATCCTCATGTTTCAGGTGGCAGATCTGGCCAGGAGAAAAGAGAAGGCGCATCTGCAGTGGGAGGAGGCTCAGCGGGTGTCAGAGGGGCAGCAAGCACTTGGCGGCTACTGAGGGGGCCTTCAAAAGCCTTTCAATGCAGTTCCCTGGGCTGCTTCGGGGATCAGACTCCATATGGAAGTGAGGATCCCTGCCACTTGGAACCACCCGAAAATCTGACGCATGGACCAGGTGGGCGAAGTATAAGATGCACCAAGATTTTCACCCTTTTTGGGGGGGTAGAAAGGTACATCTTATACGCCGAAAAATACGGTAGTTATTGAACAAGTGGTCATTAAATAGGATTACCTGTAGCTGTGAAATATAACAGAGAATGTTTCAGGCTATAATTGCCAATTTTGGCCACCTATTTTTTCTTTACTCAGTCCAATTTCCATCTTAAATGACACCCCGCTCCTTATCCTCAATTTAACTTCTATGCAATTGGAATTATACTTTGTCCTTTCAGCTCTTAAATAAGAGGGGAAGGTCAAGAAGCTTCATAAAGTGTTAGGAGCCCTCTGACTTTGCTAGAGATCTTTCAGAATGAACATATTACTTTAGAAAGTGAGGGAAATACAGTATTTCAAATGCCACTAATTGGCTTCCTCAAATATTCCCTTTCTAGCTTTATATATAGCTCTCACTGCATTTCCCACACAGGTCAGAAATAATATTATGGTCTATTATATCAATATCTATAGAAAAATGTAAAGACAAAAAAGAGGGAAAAACTCTTGTCAGTTATTTCCTTTTGTGAATTTAATTTTGTACACAACAGAAACAAGCAGATAGGATGGAACTGAAACAATAGCTATTAGAGATAGGCAATTTGAGACAAAGTTGCATTATTATGTATCTTTTTGACTGAAAATCAACAAAAGCAAAATATTAAGTTATCTCTCTTTTTTTTACCTGCCCCCATTATGAGTCCTGGTGCTGTATCCTTAGTATGAACCATCCCTGACACATATGGATTATCTGGCCAGCGCAGATGAAGATGAAGATGGCAATCAGGCTATAAAGTAACAATGAAAAAGCACTGTTTTTAGCAGAAAAAGTGGAATATCTTTAATTTCTGAAACAGCCACACCAAGATTACACAGAATAGTAGTAGTATAGTCTTTATTGTCGTTGTACAAAATATATACAATGAAATTGGTCATCAGCCATTGTTCCACCTGAAATGAAGTCTCTGTTGGGCCTTTCCAATCATCAGGGATGTGTTGACAATTTATTGTTACTATGAATGTAATAATGGCATTATATTGAAATTTTCACCATTGCACCAGCAGCAAAGATTACCACAGGATACAGGTAGTCCTCCAGATATGCCTGTAATGAAGCCTGCCCCTTATGGTCTCATCCCAGCAATCACTAGATCTCTCTAAGGCAGCAAAATGAAGCAATTTCTATGGTAGCTGCCATTTTGTTCCTGCCCAGAAACAAGCAGAACAAAATGGTGGCCACATTTGGGTCCCTGCAACACAGCCTCAGGACACATGGCCTGCCCTCCTTGTACAACATAAGCTCTGGAAAACGTCAGAAGGTAAGTGTAGGGCATGATGGGCATGTGGGGAGGAGGCCCAAGTTCTGCAGGGTTCCAGCAGGATGGGGTGGGGGGAGAGAGGTGGGTGGGGGCTGCAGCAGTGACATGCAGTCAGGGGAGGCAGTGCCTCACCACTGTCATCATGAAAAGAAAAGAAAATTAAAAGGAAAAAGGCTGAGCTAGTTGCTGCCAGAGTCACAGTGGATGACTCTGCTTAGTGCTTAACTGTCTAAAAAAGCCTCTAAAAAGTGCCCTCTACAGGAGGAGGCGAGAGAATCACGTGCCTCATTTAGTCTATTTTTATGATCAGAAAAATAGACTAAAAATAGACTTGAGCAGAGTTAAGCAAGGGTTTAAAGGCAAAAAATTCCTTATGTAGATGAGGCACGTGGTTCTCCTGCCTCCTCCTGTAGAGGGCGCTTTTTAGAGGCTTTTTTACACAGTTAAGCACAAAGCAGAGTCATCCACTGTGACTCTGGCAGCAACTAGCTCAGCCTTTTTCCTTTTAATTTTCTTTTCTTTTCATGATGACAGTGGTGAGGCTCTGCCTCCCCTGACTGCACGTCCCTGGTGGCCACATTCGCCATCTTGCCTTGTTTTTGACACCCCACCCCAGGGATGCCCCTGTGCCATGCAGAAGCACAATCTGGCATTCATGATTTTGTTTCCTCCTAGTTCAGCTATGCCCAAACACCTGCCTCTGCTAAGGGCCTTGTATATTTTTCCTGAGGATGGAGTGAGAGAATTGATCACCTTTTAAAACCATTAGTTTTAAAATACCATAGTGTTCGTAGACGT